ACTTGATATACTAAAACTTTTGTATTGAACATTTTTTTCCATAAGCATTATTTTTCAAGATATTTGACCGTTGCCGAACTTTCTCCCATCACTGTATGCTGGTATACACTGCATTTCGATTCTGCCTTAAACAAACTTCACCAAACTGTCTTTTGATTCCAGTATTGCTTCCTCCATTTAACCTTCCTAATACTACTACATTTCTTTCGAGATAGGCAAGGATTCAAAAAAGACACATATCCAAAAATTCAGAACTGCATGGCTCGCAGATGTACACTTAAAAGATTGGATTGTTCAGGTATATATACATTCTTTTCATGTTTCCGTAATTCCACAATGTCTTTCATGGAGACAATTTTCTTACACATTTCATGTTACATGTCATATCCCTTTGTAACACAGTTTTCTTGCAAAATTTTATTACAAAATAGGTTCTGGGCTACGATACGAGGATCTACTGCAAGTTTTGCAAATGCGAGTTAACAGCAAGATATGCGGATCTAATCATTCATAACAAAACAAATAAACATACAGAAGTTGCAAAACCATTCTCTTCACAAAGGCAACAAAAATTATCTTTTTGCGAACAGCACCTGACTTCGTCAGCTAGCGAAGAATCGATGGTACTTTTTATCTGTGCACATACCGCAATCGTTTCATGTGATCATTTGGGTGAAATGTGCAATAATATTTTCAAGGATAGTGTAGCTGCTCAAAATATACGACTGCATCGAACAAAAAGCAGTGAGATTATCAAAAATATACTAGGTCCTCACTTCCTCAACGACCTGCTCAGTGATGTTGGAAACGGTAAATATAGTCTTTTATTGGACGAGTCGAACAATGTGTCCGTGAATAAACTGTTGGGTATCGTTATAATATACTACAGTAACAATCATGGAAAAACGATCTCAAGTTTTCTAGCACTGACCAAGCTGGAAACGTGAAATGCTGATCGTATTGTCAGCGCTCTAAAGAAAACTCTAGATGAGATGAAATTAGATTTACAAAATTTGATTACTATTGGAACAGACAATGCTTCAGTTAGGCGTCGTCTACAATACACGGAGTAAAAAGTAAGAGTAAGAAATTGACCAATCACAGTCGATTATTCTTCTCACATTCGACTGTGATTGGTCAACTTCTTACTCTTACTTCTTACTTCTTACCGTGTATTGTAGACGACGCCTTATGGTCGGGATAAATAACGGTGTTTATGCAAAACTAAAAACAGAAGTTCCATTATTGATTTTCATTAGATGTCTCTGCCACTCGTTACAGCTTGCCGTGTCACATGCCATGACTGATACTCTCCCACGAAATCTAGACTTTTTAATTCACGAGACTTATAATTGGTTTTCAAAATCCGCTACGCGTCAAATAAAATACACTCAGCTTTACGAGACGATCAACTGTGGTGTACACCCCTTACAAATATTACAAATTTCGAACACAAGATAGTTATCTATAGAAGCAGCTGTTAATAGAATATTGCATCAATGGCTTGAGTTAAAAACTCACTTTAATATAACGAGACTTTCGGAGAAATCCTACACTGGGGAAATTCTATATAACATGTATTGTGATGAGACAAATATGCTATACTTATTATTTCTGAAACCTATTTTGTCCGAAATACAAGTTGTGAACAAGGCATTCCAAAGCGAGAAAAACGATCACTTAAAGTTTTTTAACGATCTTTCATTCCTAGTACAAGGAATTTCGAGAAAACTCGTATTGCCATCATGTAATGTAGATCCTCTACTGAATTCCATCGAAGAACATCTCGATCCACAGCCATACTTGGGACATTCGTTTGAGACAAAAATTGAGCAACACAGGAAGGATGGAAAAATTAACATTCGTGATGAGCAATGTATCCGCGATCGTTGCAAATCATTTTTACATAGTCTTTTCAAGCAGCTTAAACAAAGGTTGCCTGAGAACGTAACAATACTTAAAAAAATATCGCTGCTGTCAGTAATATGCCTGAGAACGCAACAATACTTAAAAAAATATCGCTGCTGTCAGTAATAATGTATTGCGGGCGAATAAAGAACCAATACAACCGTTATTGGAGTACATGGGTAACTCGAAAGACATCGATGTTATCGAATTGCAACTGTCAAAAATCAGTTTGATTAATTGGACGTACAAAACCGATACGACTGCATTTTGGAATGAAGTGAGTAAATACAGGGATCCATCTGGAAATAACCCATTCGCCGAATTGGTTACTTTTGCTTTGTCGATGCTCATTTTACCGTATTCAAACGCACAAGTTGAGCGAATATTTAGCCAATTAAATCTCGTAAAAAATAAAGTACGAAATAAGATGTCGATCGAAATGGCGAATGCAATTTTATTGATTCGTTTCGGACTGAAAAGAAATGACAAATGCTGCCACAACTACGTTCTGCCACCAAAAGTTATTCATAAAATTGGTTCCAAAGAAACCTACACAAATAAGACGACTACATCACAAGAAACTGACAATAATGCTATCATTGATTTATGTTTTGATCAATACAATTAATTTTAAAGTTTGCAATTTTATAAAACATGGTTTATACCACAATTATTTTCAGTTGTCATAAATCATAATCGTATATATATATATATGTTTATTTGGTTTATTTTAAATGTTATTGTTTGATTCATTTTACAAGACATTGTAAAATAATATAAATGTAACTGAGTTAACTTATTTCTTTATTTTATCAGAAATGTAAAATATATACATACATGAGACAATAAATAACTTCTGGTCTCTATTTAAGTTTATTTTCTCTATGAGCGGCGCACATTCAACTCCCTCACATCCCTCACATCGATCGATTCCTGTTAATTTTTCATTGCCTTATATATTAATGAGATTATATTATTTTAACATGTGCACAAACACAACTCAATTTTTAAATTATCACGTAAATTAGATGGTCAATATTTTTAATAATATTTACTCTCATCTTTGAGAAACATTTTTATTAAAAACATTAAGTAACAACATTATAAAATTAAAATTATAAAATTTATGTTGTGGGGGAGGAATACATATATACATTATACATATATCACTTTAGATAAATATTGCGAAGAATATTACTACGTCGACCCGCCATCATAGGTCTATACATATTCGCAAAAATATTCTCGCAAGTGCTTAGAGACGCGTATATCTTTTTATGCAATAATCTCGATTAATAACTCTCTCAGGCGTATAAGGTAGGATTCCACTACAATGCCTTACTGATGAGTCCAGTAGTGGAAATTGGGACGAAACGCCATAATTACGTGATATTCTTCGCAATATATTAAATTAATTTAAACAGATATTTAACGTAAATCATTGCTCTGTTTCTCTATATTAAGTTGTTGGAAACATATTGAGCCCCTTATTATAAACATTATAAAATTTATCCCTCAAATGTCAAATTATAATAAAATCACTAAACAATAGTAAAATCACTAATTTCCCACCAAAATTGCCTCGAAATCACCAAATTTTAGGTTACCCACTAAAAAATAACTTTTGTGCCACCGGACGTCTCTAAAAACCACCAAATCTAGTGGGAAAACCACCAAGTTGGCATCACTGCCGTGCGTGCCTATCGCTGTCTCCATTTCACCCGATTCGTCTGTCTCCCTCACGCTCCGACTACCACTACGGTCCAACTACGCTATTCCTCGACCGACCGACCGAGTTGTTTCATTCATAAAAAAATTCTTTATTACTCTCTGTGAGCGCATATGCTATTCCACCACGGCGGAAGAACGCGTACTATTACTCCCCCGACCGGCTGCGACGGCGTAACTGCGGGTGCGTTCCGAGTTACGCATGAAGCGCATAGACTGCACAGAAAGACGTTCCGATTTAACTAATGCGCGCATCAGAAGCGCTTTGGTAGTGCCGAGAATTCCCTAGGTTGTACTATCCGTACTGTATTCTTAGCACTCTTCTCAGCCATAGACTTATATAAATAGACTGCGCAGCTCAACGGGCCGGCTGTCGTCTGGACTAGAGAGAGAAAGCATGAGTGGCCGGAGCTTTGTCTCTTTCTAATGGTGGTAATGGTGGGGGACTCGGCAAGAACTGAGGGAGAGAAGGCTTCCCCACTTAGCTTAACCTCTAAGCAGTGCATCTGTGCAAACGATTTCCCACAAAGTAATGGTGCAAAGTAAATAATAATTACGTGGTATTATTTTATTGATTTTTAAATACAAGTCTATTAAAATGTGTACGTATCCTCGGTATTGTTGAAGGATTCTCGTATGAATTTGTAAGCGGGTGTGGAATAAAAAAGTAATGTGCAAGCAAACTTTTTTAGTTCGGTTGAATATTCTGGCGTTATCTTGTTTGTTAAGCATTTCTTGAACATTTCCATAAGGGCAGGTGTAATTTGTTTCTGAAATGTTATGTAAAAAGATAATAAAATAGACTAGGTAACTAATAAATAAGGTTGAGGTATATTTTAAAAAAGACTGATTTTAAAGTAAAAGATATTTAATTAAAATACATTTCCACATACCAAATCATAATATTATACAATTCATATTTATACAATTCACAAGATATACAATTCTTATTATATATAATTCATAAGATATAAAAATCACTTACTTTACTTTGTAATTTACTTTCTAATTTACTTTGTAATTTCAGTAAATAGTTATTATTTGAATGTAATTTACGAAATACGTCGCTATTTATGCATGACCTTCAGGGCCTACCTGTAAAGCTTCTTCTGTTTCATCAGATAAAAGTCCAATACTTTTTAAATGTTTTGTTAATTCTTCCATAGTATTAAATTTCTTCTGCAGTCGATTAACTTTTTGGTGTAAGGTATTTAATTTCTTTTGAGTTTCGTCATAGTATTTTTTTACAATAAAATAAACTGACTCTGACATAAAATGTTCTTTACGAAGATCTCCCATGTACCGAGGATTACACACTCTCTTTGTATCAAAATTTAATTCCTCAGAATTTTTCCTGCAATAGTATACAATTATATTTCTTTTTAAGAAAAACTTATTTTGTAAAAAAATAACTTAACGAACCTTTTTGTTGTTTCATTAATTTTTTCATTACTGGTAGATTCAGTTTCGGATATACAACTGTTTACATTTTCATTACACATGATCTCACAAGAGTTTTTATTTTGATTATCCTCTGACACTGATTTACAAATATCTCCTGTGTCGGCCACTCTGAAATATATTTTTATATATTACACGTTTTGTTCATAATACCAAAATAAGTTAAAGGAATTGTGCCTATTTATTTCTTACCTTATAGAATTATTATCAAGTGATAATGTTGGGCATGCTGTTTGTTTTAAAAATCGACGCACACTATCTCCAACGACTTTGTATATGAAATCTGTTTCGCGAAAATGCTGACTACAAACACAACTTTTTTTAGAAACTGTCATGTTCACAGATTTCAGCCACTGCTCTCTTCGTTCGTCGTTTTTAGGGAAACTAAACAATTATTCATATTAACACTTATGTATATATTTTTCGTGTAAACATAATACAATTACATTTTATTTACCTGTGAAACGATACATTATCAATAACTCCTTGGGACACTTTACATACACAACAATCAGAAACCATTTTTCTTCAATTACTTCGTTATTTTACTTAAAATAACAATATCGTAGGCTACGTCCACGCGGCTACCGTGGACATCGAAATAAACAGGCTGCAGTATGTACTTCAGTTGTGTGTAGGGTGCTTACTGCTTAGAGGTTAAGCTAGGTGGGGAAGCCTTCTCTCCCTCAGTTCTTGCCGAGTCCCCCACCATTACCACCATTAGAAAGAGACAAAGCTCCGGCCACTCATGCTTTCTCTCTCTAGTCCAGACGACAGCCGGCCCGTTGAGCTGCGCAGTCTATTTATATAAGTCTATGTTCTCAGCGCATTGACTGCTTCTATTTCTTAGAACATATACTACTGGAAGGAGAATAGGGCGCTGAACGTGATGCCAACATCTGTGCGAGAGAGAAAGGTATAGAGTAATATATGCGCAATGCGCATGCGTCAGTGCCATCGTATGTGTGAAATGAATTGTACAGTTGTGTTAGTGTTCTCACGCATTTTTACTGTTTGTTTCAGGAGTTTTAGGTTACGTATCTTAGACAAAATAACAATAAAATTGACATAATCTATTGTATTTAATAAATTAGTGTTAAAATGAATTTTAATATAAGAATGCATGCAATGTGAGAAACCTTTTCAAAAGAAATGAAATAAATATGAAATAAATAAAATAAGAAATAAGAAATAAATATGAAATATGTATTAAATAAGAAATAAATATGAAATATTTATTAAATATGAAATAAATATGAAATATGTATTAAATATCCATAACATATGTAAACATAACCTACATGTTATTATATAATTAATGCCTTAATAAAATATTACATACAATAACTTACGAGTAATAAGAAACTGCAGTAGTTCCGCGATTACCACACAATAAACAATATTTACTATTGCTCGGCATATTTACTTTTACTTTATGCTGTTTTTATGTCGGCCTTACGAACGTACATACATACGAAATGAATCTCACTGTGTGAGAACACTACACATGCGCATTGCGCAAATATTATTCTATACCTTTCTCTCTCGCACACATGTTGGCATCACGTTTGGTATACGGGTAGCATAGGCAATTCCCCTTCCAGTAGTATATGTTCTAAGTTCTATTTCGACTTGAGGCAGTTGATGCGTCTGATGCGTTCATGCGGTCTATGCGCATGATTTGTAATTTGGAACGAGCAGGACAATCACAACAATGAACGAATAAACAGTGACGTAATCTGTAATTTTTTCAACTCAAATTTGTTTTCCACGTGATTTATCTACCATTAATAGAAAAAATAACGTCTGCATATTACTTAGAAATATGTCTTCGACTTCATTTTCACTATCGCTCGATTCGGAACTATCATCGGAACTTTCATCATTTTTCTTTAAAAGTATTAAAGAAGAAATTACAATTACTGGAAATCGTTTATTGACGTCTTGTATAGCGTCCATCTTGAACTCACACAGGAATGCATAGGAAATCGTTCCGAATAACTAAAGCGCTTCATGCACATTGGCCGGTATTCATAGTCGGATCTTATATTTAAGACCGTCTTAAGTACAGTCTTAAGATACACAACTCGGAACGCACCCTGCGTTTATACATAGTATTATTTACTACTGTGCGAATGTCCGTACCAAATGAACATATACTTATAATTTGACTTTTTATAATTCAATCTTGTTTTTAAATATCAATCGCGATCCAAATACTCAGTTAAATCGTACTCTGAAAATTAATCGACATCGAATCGCTGAAGGAAGATAAGACGATCAGCGAACAAAGTGTTAAGTGTCCAAGTGTTATTGTTACCATGGAGAACAGCAAGCTGGATCAACAACAAGAATTCCCCTTGGATCTCTCCTTAAATTCGGGGAGATCTGAGGATCGAAGAGATCGTAGACCGACACGTCGTCAACATAACACCAGCAATGATCGTTCAAATTACATGGTAGGCGGCAGATTTGAGAGCAACTTGGACTTCAGCCACCAGGGTTGGGTAAGTTAATGTTTTTTTTAAAACTAATTTAAGTTTGGAGACAGCGAACGGCGCGCTTGCCAGGCCATTCTCACTCCCCCCTTTGTAGAAATTTAATACTGATAATTACTTAAAATTAACGTGAAAAAAATGTTAATAGCATTTCAATGATCATTTGGTCAATGCTTAATTATTAGTACTGGCTTAAGGGGGTGCTAAACCAATTACCGAACTCAATCAAGGTCGATAGGTACAGACCTTTTTAATTCCAAATTCGATAATAGTGGTGACATCTTTGATTCAGTTTTTACATTATATTATATAATATCATTCTATCTTATTCAAACGCACACATCTGTTCTTATCTAACATATGCTAGCAACATCTATCGCAAGACGGCGTAACTACTTCTACACGGAATTTCGGCTCTGTTAACAGTCCCAGTCTTCGCAAAGCACCTGTATACACATATTTTCTATTCGGTGGCGATACTTTTTTTCTAGACTTTCAATCTTAGTTCTACAAACTCGGTATCGTTCGTTTTAATAATGTGACTTCGGCTTCACGCTTAGGGCCTGCGCACAATAGAGGAACAAGCATTAGATATTAAGATTTCAACCTATCAGAAATCGTGTATTCCAATGTAATCAGTTTCTGATAGGTTGAAATCTTAATATCTAATTCCTGTTCCTCTATTGTGCGCAGGCCCTTATTTTCAAGATATGGACTCTAAAACTCTTATATCAAGCAAATATATATCTGAGGTGATAGCTGTACGATCCAAAAAAGTAAGTGAATTTTTAACGAATTAAAAATTTTTTTTCTATTTTCTCATGAAATCCAGTGCAGCTTAGGTCCTGTTTGTGCGTACTTTAATTTATGTAATAATACTTTTGCAATCCGTACATCCAATACGGAGATTTTTCACCAAATGGAAATGTGGGTAAAACAGGAGGCTTTAGCACCGCCTTAATACTGGTTTAAAATATTGCAGCTTCAACTTAATACTGGCAATACAATTTAGTACTGGAAAATAGTTATTAATTATTTATTTTGAGTACTAAAAATACCGTTGTGCAGTATCTGCAATACTTATTAGTGTTTTTAACATTGAACAATAGTGTTTTTAATACTTAAAATAAGTAATTAACCACTACTTTCCATTTTTAAATTTGTGTAAAGAAGTAATAAAATATATTAAAAGCATAATATTTGGTAAGATTTACATTTTAACACTTTTTTTCCTTAATTATAAAATATTGTGTCATGAAAAAGAAAAAAGGCAAAGTCATAAATGAATTTGTATTATATTTATTTTTAATACTTGTGTACATTTGTGTATATATATGTATGTATGTGTGGTGTATATATATATATGTTATAGAACTAAATTTTTAATTATAATATTTACAGATTTTAATATGTTATTCATCATTATTAAGATCGTTTCGAAGATGCGAATAAGCATCAAAAATTTGTTAAATTGCCAGTCGAATTAACTCGTGATATTACTGCGGTAATTTAATAGAGTTAGCGTTTTCAGGACCGAAAAATCATTTCGGCGCTCGTTTCTGGGGACTATATACGTAGTATATAAATTCACATAAGAATCATACAAACATTAAGATCCAGCTAGACCGTTTAAGGCTTTGATTTCTATAGTTTGTGTTATCACATATACGGTCCTATAATATATTATATTATAAATTTTTAATATTTATAAAGCTTTACATACTCTGTATACATATATATGTGTACAGAGTATATTTGTACATATATAAAAGTAAATTTTTTATGTCTATATGCGGAGGTCTTACGAGACACTGGGTGCGTTCAGCAAATATAACGGTTGCACATCTAATCTTTGAGCGCTCATTGAGCATAAAGTGATCAGTGAACAGTTTCCTGAACGGTCTAAACGTTTGTACATGTGCAGTAGCTTTGCCTACAAGTATTATTGCCTACATGCACTTTTGCGCACAAATAAAAATTTTAGAGACGAAGTTACTTTTGCCTACATATATTATTGCCTACATGTATTACCAGGTATGTAAATATGAAACTGGAATTTTTTAACAGAAAATACACGTTTATTGCATGAAAATGATAAAAAATATTTTATTCGAAGTATTGCCCATCGCTAGCTATACATTTTTCCCACCTGTCTAACAATTTGTGGATGCCACGCCAAAAAAAGTGTTGCTCTTTTGAGTCAAACCTGTCATCTAACCATTTTCGTACATCTTCGTAAGAAGTGAAGCGCTGCTGAGCAAGTGCGTGTCCCATCGATGCAAATAAGTAGTAATCGGACGGAGCAGTCTGGTGAATAGGCCGCATGCGAAAGTATTTCCCAACCAAACGCCTCAATCGTTTCCTTGGCCAGTTTTATTGTGTATGATGGTGCGTTATCATGAAGGAAAATCACTTTGTGTTGCCTTTTTTGATATTTCGGTCGTTTTTCACGCAAAGCTTGATTCGGATTGATCATTTGTTGTCGGTAGCGTTCAGTATTAACGGTTTCGCCAGGTTTTAGCAGCACACAATAGATCACACCTTTCTGCTCCCACCAAACACAGAGCATTGTCTTCTGTCCATAGCGATTTGGTATAGAATACATCAATTACGATATGTGTAAGATTGACGAAATGAAATTACTTTATAAATATAAAAAACAAAATATTTACGTTTTTCTCTTGCGCGGTGTAACGGAACTTCTTGTCTCCCATTCTCCATACACTAGATGTAATTATATCGCTCGTTATTCCGTTATATTGTTAAAAGAAATTGAGGTTACATTATACATCTAATTCTCGCGATACATAATATTATTTCATATATGTGCTTTAAGGGGGTCATCCCGTGTGACGACCGTTTTTTTAAGGTTTTTTTGCATTTTTTTGCAAATGAAAAAATACAGAGCTTCCAAATTTTTACTATATATTTATTACATCTTAAACTATATGTGTAAATTTTTTTATTTAAAAATATGGCGTCGATGGCGAGTTACATCACTGGAATGGCACCCATGTAAAAAAAAGCAGACAAACGGTGCCCACGATTCCGGCAGACTGGTTTATCTGAAATCAAAAAATCAAATTGCATTTTAATCTATAGGTGAATGGCTATCGTGGGAACTAGGATTTTTTGAAAATATTAAAAATTCAATTTTTCGCATGCTTTTAAAAATTATAACTCAAAATAGCATGATTTTTTGCGACTATTTTTTTATGCGGACAGAAAACGGTTCAATATTTTTTAAAAATTCTAGTTCCCACGATAACCATTCACCTATAGATTAAAATGCAATTTGATTTTTTGATTTCAGATAAACCAGTCTACCGGAATCGTGGGCACCGTTTGTCTGCTTTTTTTTTACATGGGTGCCATTCCAGTGATGTAACTCGCCATCGACGCC